CTCCACGCCCGGTCACATCGGGCTACCTCGGCTGCAACTCCTGGATTGCCTACATGTTCTGTCAACCCTCCTCTCACCCGCAGTCACCTCATCTCATCTCATCTTCAAAACGACAGATAATGGCAAGTGACGAACGCGGTTAATAGTCATTTACGAGTCCTGATAAAGAGACTACTCGACAGAAGTTCTATTTGAAACACTCGACAGCTGAAGAGCGAAAATAGAGTGATATGTGCAACAAATTTCTTATTTTTGAAACATATAAATTTGAAAAAAGAAATGAAAATTGTATTTTAAATTTTAATAAAACTGTTTTTGTAATTTAAAGTGCACTACATATTTAACTACTTGTCATGATTAGAATCGATAGCCTGAGATCGATATAAAGTGTCTTTCCTTCTGTGGTAGATAGGAATGCCATGAACTGTTCTTCGAATCCTCCGGGAGACGCAGCCTCAGTTGCCCCATGTGACTTTGACCGGAGATAATTCAATGAGATTCCCAACTCCTGATCCAGATTCAACGAAACCAGCTCAGAAATGTACGAAACAAGCCAATATTCTCATAGTTCACCATGACCTAGACAGACACCATTCGGGATAGACTTCCAAACACAACTTAAAGGGGTGTACTCAAAATTCGAATTAATCGGGGCAAACGCTCTCAATCACCTGAAAGCTAATGAAGTCCATCTCCCTGGTGACAATTCATTTCTAAATATCCCAATATCACATTCAATTTCGATCGATCTGAAACAAACAGCCTGAATTTTGCTGTATAAGTAAATGTTTTAACCAATCGTCTTAAGAAACTCATACCTATCTCAGTCGTGTAACTTGAGCCAATCCAAATTTTAATCACTCGCATGTTGAAGTGGCCCAATTGAATGACCCTTGAGTGAAACTATGAGGGGTCAATGCACATCCGAAACCATCTCAAACTGTTGGACAATCTTAACTAGAACGGCACGCGCCAATCAGGTGTAAACCTCACGGATCTAATACAGAGGCTAATCATACTGGACTAATGTAGTACTCTCACTCTGGAATCAGCTTGTTGACAACCATGAAGCAAACGATTCCTGATATTGAAGTTCCTCTTGCGATCACAAAAAGGAGATTGTTCGTGTGGCTGTCAGTATGGTCGCCATTCTTTAGTGGCTAGTCTCAGAGCTAGTTATGAGAAGTTGGTGAAACTGGAAGTTTTGAGTTCGTCCACACAAGGTTTGACGTCTGGATGAATAATATGATACACAACGTTCTATGATGTAGCTCTTGGAAATGAAAGTTTGCATGTCTCCATTTGTTTTCATGTAAAACACGAAGAAAACCAATATTGTTTTAGTATAACTACAGTAGTTTAACGACAGTAGTAAATAGTTTGAAGGGAAGAATAATAAGAGATGGTACAGGAATACAACCATGCAGACGTATCACAGCGGATAAAGGAACAAAAAGATATTTCGTATTAATGACGTGCAAAAAGAGGATATGTTCCCTGCACTTTTTCACTTCACTTTTTACAACTTCGACACACTTCCTTCACTTTCCTTTCAAAAGAGAGGCAACAATTGATACGGCTGCCTATTTCGAACATTCTCTTGCGAGCCACTTCCAGTCCAATAATGTACAAAAATATACTGTATTTGTTTCTTGGCTATCACTTAATTGTCTAGTCTTTTTTAGAGTTTTTAGAATTTTGTGGCAGATACATATTTACTTTTTAATAGTTCATGTGTCACTGAATTGAATAGAAGTGTAAATAAATATCCCAGAAGCGTTAACAATAGCTACTTTCGAAATGCCTGGACCAAATGTAAACTTAACTGCAACGTGCAAGCACAATCCAAGTATTCCTTAAAGTGAATTGGTGTTACAATTCTGAAACATTGAGTACTGCTGCTATATCGAGGGTATTCGCAAGAAGAAAATTAATTGCAATAATTTTATTATATCTACTGATCATTGTTACTTAAGATCATCACAAAAAATACAAAAACAAAAAAGACACAGATAATTTTGTCTTCCACGAAGGATTGAGCGTCGTCAAAATTACGAATCCTGCTCCTTTGGAGAAAGGGCTAACATTTTCATGAAGAAATTAAAAATGTGTGTGGCGAGTGGCAGGTTCACTTTAAAAAATGTTGTGACATTAATTTGTAAGTCGATAATGGGAGCTAGATAACAATTCATTCTAGAAACCTTTCACTTCAACAATATCAACATGACTATAAAATAGTATTTACAGTAAACTTTGCGAACGACATAATTTTGATACTTATTTTCTTAAAAAGTATTTTTTTTGTTAAGTGAAATTTCACCAAAGAGTGTTTTTTAGTAATTAGAGCAAAATGTCCAGGGTTTCAACAACCATGTCAAGGTTTCAAGACAATCCGCTAATCCTGCTCCTCACTCCTCCGTGCCGACATCGCTGACTGCCCCTGCGTAATCCTGGTAATCCTGGTAATGTTCGTAAAACCTAGTCGCAATAGGTCAACACAAAATCTGTAGGGATGCGAAATACAATGCCAACATTTTCTCCGCCGCTGGTCACCAGAGATCTCTGCCGCCGCCCCTTCTCTGCCCGCTCGCAGCGCTCCCACAGACCAATCGCAAAAGCACTCAATTTTCCCGCCGCTGTTACGTTTCTTACAGAAACTGTTTCAAATCACATAAAAGCCCAGATTTGTAATTTTAAAACGTATTTTCGCTTTTGGTTGTGCGTTCCTTAAGTACACATAATTATTAAAATACATTCACGGAGATGACACAATATGTGGGATCAGAGGATCTGGGAGGCCCCAAACCACAACTGATAAGACTTTCATTTGAGTACATCGTGTATTTTTTGCCGCGTGATTTTCTGCAGAGAGTAAACCACAACGTGATTCGGAGGTGTCCAGAACCAAAGGACAAGCGTTTCGGCACCATCTTTGGAGAACGTAAGAAGTGACGGACAACATGCGTTCTCTACCGGTGCCGTTCTCTACCGGAGCGTTCCCGGCTAACACCGAAGGTTAGGCGACCAACAAAATGCGCACCTTTGCACCAGGAGCGCAGGGCGTAGCGTGATTGGCGTGGTGGCGTGGCATGGCGTGAAATAGCGTGGCGGAGCATGGTGGGCGTGGCGGAACGTGGCGAGGATTGGTGAGGGCGAGGAATGGTGGGTAGGGCGTGGAGTAGCGTGCGATGGCGTAGAGAACGTGTTGCGACGTGAAGGGACGTGCAGGACGTGGCGTGTCATGGCGCGGCGTGGAGGCGGGATGGGAAGTGGTGGGACATGGCGGGATGGGGCTTGATGGAAAGACATGGGTGAGCTACTGCGCATTGTATCCGATGTCAGCAAATGTGCTTCAGGCACCAGTTTGCGTCACAATAAGAGCGGGAATTTTAAAAACAACCAGACACGAAAATTATCACATTGTGACAAGTCATTGAAACATATATTTGAAGTATTTCTTTTAAATATTACGTGTTGTATACCTTCTTCGTGTTCTTTCTGATTAGTCACCATTGAAAGTTCTCACGTAATCCCACTTTCAAAATGTTTGTCAACATACGATTTATTTAGTCGTGCACTTGACGTAAATTAGCTGTTGCTAATTATATGTCGCTACAGTGACTTGGGGACGTTCAAGCTCCCGATTGGATGAAACCGTGAACAGCTGATTTACGACAAGTGCACGGTTAAATCCTAGTTTACTCGTGCCTCATGCATCATGGTGGACAGCGTCTGGTCTGGCATTTCAAACGAAGTGGTTCGTCACACAAACTGGTGCTGCACAGAACGAGAAAAAATCAGAGCGCCAGCGTAGCCCGCCCATATTTTTCCACCATGAACGTCCCTACAACGCCAACATCTTTGGGACGTGGTGGGGTGGGTAGTGGTGGCGTGGATTGAGGTGTG